TATACTTCTATATTGCAACTTTGTTTTTCTTCTCAACAATACTATCTTGGACATCCTCCCATGTCAGTACATATATACATATATCCCATAATATTTAACTATTCTCCCATAGATGAATATCTAAGATATTTTCACTTTATAAAAAATGATACATATATCTGTACAGGTCTATTTCTGAATAAAGCCAGAAGCGGAATTGCTGTGCCAAAGTGCATTTTTCCTTCCTCAGTATTTTTATTGTTGCCACTCAAACCTATGAAAAATCTTACTTTTTAAATTTGCCTTTTCCTGAATTTTCTTTGTGGATAACCAAATTTTCCCGGAAGTCTTAATATCTGGTAGAGTGAAGTCCAAATTCTTGTTTTTCAGAAGTATCTTAGCTATTCTTGACCATCTGTTCTTTCAAATAAATGTTTCCAGCAATTTGCTCAAATCTCATGTTAATTCTGATTGTTTTTTTCTATAGATTCTCTTGGGTGTTCTACATAAACAATCATATAGTCTGCAATTAATAAGAATTTTTCTTCCCTTTCAAATCTTTTTTTCCTCTTCCTTCTTCCCTCTCCCCATCTCTCTCTGAGCTGTGTAACAAAGACCTGCCACAAAGCACTGAATACCGAGCAGTATCTACTACTGCATATCCTTGTTCATTTCTGATCTTAAAATGAATGTGTCTAATATTCATTCCATTCCTAGTATGCTTGTGGCATTAAGTTTTGGAAATAATTACAACAGTTACATAAAAGAACTGAAACAATTATGTTTAAATGGGTAAAAAAAATTAATTTTACCACAAAAAAGGGGGAGGAAAAGAGAGGGTTGGAAGAAAACGTGCAAATTTCATTTGAAATAGGAGAAAGTCTACAGCAACTCTTTTATTCCTGAACTTATTCATCAAGAAATAGGTTTAAATATGTCTGAGATATTTAAAGCTAAACAGAAAACAGTTCTATACACTACAAATCAATGAAAGGCCCCAAAAGACAAATAGAGAGAAAAAAGAAAATCAGTTTAGCCAGAGATTACAAACAAAAACAGCAAGATAGCATGAAAAAACCACCAACAAAAACCAAGCAGAGAGCAGCATAAACTGACAGAAGACCAAGCATTGTGATAACACTAAAATTAGATTTAACCCATTAAGAACCCATTGTCATTCAGTTGATTCCAACTCATAGTGACCCTATAAAACAGAGTAGAACCCCATGGGGCAGTTCCACTCTGTCCTATAGGGTTGCTATGAATCAGAATCAACTCAACGGCAAGGGGTTTTTTAATCTTTCTCCCGCAGAATGGCTGGTGGGTTGGAATTGCCAACCTTTCAGTTAGCAGCTCAGGGTTTAACCACTGTGCCAGCAACTAAAACGCCAAACCCATTGCTGTCGAATCGAGCCCTGGTGGTACAGGTATTCAGAATTCGGCTACTAACCAAAAGGTCTGCAGTTTGAGGCCACCAGCCGCTTCTTGGAAACCCAATGGGGCAGTTCTACTCTGTCCTAATAGGGTCACTATGATCAGTCAGACTGTGCCACCAGGGCTCCAAAATTAGACCTAGTAGAATTCAAAATTAAAAACAAAAAAACTTAAAAAAATAGAAGACTAATTATAAACTCTTATATGCTGAATAAAGCACTGAAATATATAAAGCAAAAAGGATTAGACATAAAAAAATACATAAGAGCAATACAAGACTTTATTTTACGTATCTCCCACCTTGAGATAAATGATATAATCTCACCAGTGTTTAATAATTTATGAGTATATGACAAATTATACCAAAGATCATACTCTTCCTGGCATCCAGGAAATATTTACAAAATTTGTTTGTTTACCAGACTAAAAATAAATCCTTAATGAATTCCTTAAAGCTGAAATAATAAAAGACCACATATACTGACCATAACGTAATGGACCTAGAAATTATTAACAAAAAACTAAGCTAAAAAATATATCCAACCACCTGGAAATTGAAAAACACTATCCTTAAGTAACAGGAGCTCTGGTGGCACATTGGTTAAGCACTCAGCTGCTGAGACGTCAGCAGTTCTAGCCCACTAGCCACTCTGTGGCAAAGAGATGTGGCAGGCTGCTTCTGTAAAGATTACAGCCTTGGAAACCCCATGGGGCAGTTCTACTCTGTCCTGTCGGGTCGCTATGAGTCGGAACTGACTTGTTGGCAATGGATTTGGCTTTTTGGTTTATCCTAAATAACCCTGGGATCAAACCTGCAATCAAATTTGCAACCATCAAATATTTATAAAACAATAATGAAAACACAACATTCTTCATTTATGGAATGGAGCCAAAGAAATAATCAGAAGATAATTTACAACATTAAAATATTTTTAGAATTTGAAAAAAGAAAAATGAACTTATTATTTAGCTCAAGAGGTCAGAAATGAATAGAAATAAATAAGTAGCAGGAAGGAATCAAAGTCAAAATACCAAAATAAATTAGAAAATAAATGATAGATTATTATTCCCTGGTGGTGAGAGAGAGGATGAAGGTAGAGTAGGACAAACCCTAGCTAATCAAGAAACAGAGAAAACACACTACAGGGGAAGCCAGCACAACTGGACTAAACCAAAGCTAAGAAGTTTCCTCAATACAATCAAACACTTTGAGAGCGAGAGTAGCAGGGATGCGGGATCTGGGGACCATGCTTTCAGGGGACATCTATGTCAATTGGCATAACAAAGCGTATTAAGAAAATGTTCTGCATCCTACTTTGGTGAGTGGCCTCTGGGGTCTTAAAAGTTTGCAAGCGGCTATCTAAGATGCATCAATTGGTCCCAACCACTTGGAGTAAAGGAGAACGAAAAACACCAAAGACACAAGGAAAGTATTAGCCCAAGAGACAGAATGGGCCACATAAACCAGAGACTTCATCAGCATGAGACCAGAAGAACTAGATGGTGCCCGGCTACCACCAATGAACGTCCTGACAGGGAACACAACAGAGGGTCCCTGATGGAGCAGTAGAATGATGACATGCAGAACTCAAATTCTAGTAAGAAGACCAGACTTAATGGTCTGAGACTGGAGGCACCCCGGAAAGCACGGCCCCTGGACTATCAGCCCAGAACTAAAACAATTTCCGAGGCCAACTCTTCAGACAGGGATTGGACTGGACTGTGGGACTAAAGTGATACTTGTGAAGAATGTGCCTCTTAGTCAAGTAGGTACAAGAGACCAAAGGGGCGGCTTCTGTCCAGAGGTGAGATGGGAAGGCAGAGAGAGTTAGGAGCTGGTTGAATGTTCATGGGGAATCAGGGGCGGAGGGAAGGAGTGTGCTGTCGCAGAATGGGGTGATCGGTGGGGTCTCCTAACAATGTATGTTAAAAAAAAAAAATTCTGTATGGGAGACTAACTTGAAATGTAAACTTCATTTTATTACAATAAAAAAAATCATAAAAAAAGAAAAAAGATACAAAAGGTATGCATAATAATAGATGATATAGGTATTTAAAACATTTAGATGATTGTTACAACTGTATGCTACCCTGAACAGACCAAGAACACATGAGGAAATAGAAAAGTTGTGGAAGAATTACCTTCAAGAAAAGAGCGAGGTGTATCTGGTTATAATTAAATAGCTTTAACATCAATAAACAGGTAATTCTCAAGACATATAAACTATTCTAAATCAAAGAAGACATTTCTTCATTCTGCAAAGCTATTATAACCTGCTAATCAAAACCACAGACTAATCTCACTTATGAACATCATGCAAAATCCTAAATACAGGGTTAGTCAATAGAACACAGCAGCATTTCAAATGAATGGCTTAATATTACAATCTATTAATGTAATTACTATCTATCATCAGTAGATCAAAGGAGAAAATCCATATAAATATACTGGCAGACACTGAAAATGCATTTTAAAAAATTTAACACCTGATCCTAATAAATGTGCTTCATGAATAAGATCCTCCTAAGATATTCTATTTCTAATCTAGTTTAACTTGTACAGAAGAGTGAAACACTAAAAACTAATTTGTAAAATAGGAAACAAGAATGGCCATTATCACAATGAAATGAAAAACTATTAGAAATGGTAACAGAGAAATTAAGTATTGTGCCCGGTTAAAAAAAAAACAGAAAAACCACACATACAACTGCTTTCCTATACAAGCAAAAATTTTTTTGGAACTTAAAAACTAATGTATATGAACTATGTTGTGTGCTGTCTCATAGCAGCCCTACAGTACAGCATAGAACTAACTGCCCTATAGGGTTTCCTAGGCTGTAATCTTTACAGGAGCAGATTGCCAGGTCCTTTTTCCTCCACAGGGCAGCTGGTGGGTTCTAACTGCAGACCTTTCGGTTGCAACTGAGGGCTTAACCATTGTGCTACCAGGGCTCCTTATATGAACTATAGTAAAGAAAAATTTTCAACTTTTAAAACAGAACTTTTAGTAAGGAACATGCCAAAAAAACAAAAACAAAAACCCTACTATGCTCTCAATGGGAAAACAACTTAAGCAAAATTAAACATTTAATATGGTTTCAATTAAAATCCCAACAGGGTACTTAGGGAAAGTGATCAATAATGATTCTGAAAGTCACTTGGAAAAATAAATAGGCAGGAGTAGAAAACAATAACTTTGAAAAAGAGAATAAATTTAGGTTATCCCCTACAACAAATATTTCTTATCTACTATGTGCTAGACATTATTTTAGGAATCGAAAATAGTGATTAAAAACAAAAGGCGAATTAGTGCCTGTAACCAGAACAGAAAGATCAAAGTGGAACTAACAGAAAGCCCAGAAAGAGACCCAAAGCTGGCATTTTCAAACTAGTGGGGAAAGGATGAATTGTTTAATTAACAAATGCTGCTGATCTATTTAGTATAACCACTTGGTAAAATGTAAAATTGGATCCTTACTTTACACCATCTAACAAAATAAAGTCTAGAATGATTTAGAATTAAATGTAAAAGAAGAAAGCCAGAAAAGAAGTAAAATAAAATTTGTGTATTTTAACAATCTTGGAGTAGAGAAAGCTTTTCTAAGAAGAAACCATAAAGAAAAGGTTAATTGACAACATAAAAAATTCTACATGTTCCTATGTCAAAATACACCAGACAATATTTTTAATACATACAGCTCACAAAGGGCTAACTTTCTCATGTAGACAGTTCTTCAAAGCAAGAGATAAACACTTCATAAGTAAACATATGAACAGTTAATAAACGAAAGACACATGGCTAACATGAAAAAATGTTGAATTTAACGTAAAGAAATACAAATTAAAACAAGATGATTTATCACCTGTTAAACTGTCAAAGATTAACTTTTTGAATATCCAACACAGCTAAATTAAAACTGGTAAATCCTTCCCAGAGGGTAATTTGGATATACTGAACATTTTAAACACCCACTCTTTAACCCAGCAATTCCAAGGAAATTATGTTTATATGTATGTATTTATGTAGACTTTATTTACATTTTATTTATAACAGAATAGAAATATTTTATTCCAACACTAAAGAATTGTTAAATTATGGTTCTTCTATAAAGGAATAATTTATAACTATTAAAAAGGGTAGAATTGATTGACAGATGTTCACAACATACTGTTAAATGAAGTTACAAAGCTAATGGGCAGTACACCTTCTCCTCACTTACCGACTATCTCATTATACATTTCATATTTACAATAGTAAAAAATCTACCATCCAACTATTTTGCATGTTAACAACATACATCTGGCAGTTAACAAATGCCAAGGTGCTAGGCAAGAGTTAACACAGGCTGCGATGGTTGTTATGTGTCTACTTGCCTAGGCCATGATTCTCAGTGGTTTGGCAGTTATGTAATCATGTAATTTGACAATTATGTAATGATGTAGTCATTCTCCATTTTCACATAATGCCGATTTTGAATATCGACCTGGTCTTTGGAACCTAACCATTTTGATAAGTGAGGAGAGGGTGTCTACTCCATTGTTTCAAGAATAAATTTAGATATGCATTCATATACATCCATCAAAGACAAAATATTAATGGTGGTTATCTCTAGATGTTTTTCTCTGTGCTGCTACGTTTTTGAATATGTACAAATATAGAAAAAGGTTGGGGGAAAGGGTTGCAGGTTTTGAGCTCTGTCAGTAAAACATGACACAGTGAATTTCAAGTGGTCGTCTTTATCAGATAAAATTATTTTTTAAGAGTCTGTTCTGGCTATAAGCAAAAAGAAAATAAGGATAAAAATGGCCTGGTAATCTTATGGCAGTTTATTTACAGACTATCAAATACAGCCTTAAAAAAAAAAAAAAAAAGGCTTATATTAACACATTAGATTTAACAGTAACAAGACTTTACTACAAGTTCTTGCAAAAAAAGTACTCACACCTTTTACAAATTAATGTAAATGTGAAAAAATTTAAAGCGTGATTCTCTATTCACTACAAAGCCTCATTATGAATGCTATTAGAACTAGGAAATTCTTTTTTAACGGGACATTTGATATGGTAAAAGGAGCAAACCCACAACATTTGCCAATTTACATAATGCACTGGCCAGGTTTTTTTCTCATTAAGATCAAAATTTTCTTTTTTCTCCTTCAACTGGATTCCATGACATAAGCTATTAATTTGTTATTTAAAAGCTTTTATTTTTAAGAAAACTAGAAACAATTAAAAAAATTATCTGAAGAGGCCTTTGGTAAATGACAAACCATTGCTTCCTTAATTAAACCTTAAAAGAATTTAAAAGCATGTTTGCATGCCTGCTAATACCCAATCCTCCTCCTGCAAAGAGATACATTTTAACAATTTAATCTGATACTTAAATAACTACTGTCTTTAAAAAAAAAAAAACACAGGACCCTCCTTTGTAAAGACTATCCACACATGAAACAAAGTCTCTATAGGTTCCTTCGTAAGTTTTCTAAAATTTTTAGTTTATTTTCCTATTTTTCCTGAATTACAAGAAAATCATTTTTTCTTAAGTTGACTTTCCAAGCCATCTGTGTTAAAGTATCAATCCAGTATTCTAAATTTAATTATTTCTTTTATTGTAACACTGGTCAGGTGTTTTAACAGGCAATTTTCCTTAAAACGTTTTTAGTATGAAATTTAGAGACGGCTTAGCAGAACAAGCACTGGTCTGGGATTTAAGAAAGAAAGGTTTCTGGCAATCGATCTCTGTAAACCTCATTAGCTGTAAGGCGAGGAGATTGATCAGAGGATTTTAGATTACTGGGACATTCTGTTCAGCCTTTCAAAACCAAGGAACAGGGATTTAGTAGATCTTTATTCAAAACTTGTACTTCAGCTTTACTTATTAAAAAAAAAAAAAAATCCTAGGGTAAAAAATCATCCAAAATTCTATTAAGTTCATAGTAAATACAGCAAAACCTTAACTCAAAGTCCATACTAGTTTGGAAGCATTTAACCCGCTCTTCGTGTTTTCAAGAAATCTTGAAATTTTCTACAAATTTTGGCCTATTGCAAATTGGCCACATGCAGCTTAAAATTTGTTTTTATTGTTGAGTTTCCAGTTGCTCTACTTTTTTCCAGAACCTTATTTTCTATTCAAATTTCACTTTAAAATGTTACACTCAAATTTTCATTTCTTACACTCGAGTGTAACTTAAAAGACAGCTAAGAGTAGTAAATACCACTAGCTTCTCCAAACACTTTTTAAATCTTTGTGCTTACTGTCAGCTAGAAGTATGATTTAACACCTTTCATGCTTAGTGACATATCGCAAAGTACTAGACTAGTACTTGGCACACAGTAGGTACTGAACAGATATTAACCGAATGAAGCTCTGATCCACAGATAAGTGTTACCTTAATTCATATTCCACAACCTATTTTAATCAATAAGCCCCTTAAACTGAGTCTTTTAAAATTTCATGAATCATCACAACTTTCCAACAAATAATTGAAGACTTGGGAAACATACTGACTTGCATGAAGAAAAACCTGCTGTGTCAAAAAAAGACACTCTTCAAAATGAAATGTGACATGGGAGAAGATAAATATTTTCTTCTCTTGGTAGGTCAAGTCTTTTCTAGTTCATGTTCTTATTTGCAATCTGACTTACCTGTTTCTTTCCCCAAAATTTAGCAAGTATTTTATGTTCCTTAGATTTCACGCAAGAATATTCAGTAATTACTGAAGTTGTTATAACCTACAGAATTCGTGATTTCTCAACCCTGCTCTTTTTTTTAATCCAAATTCACTGAACTAATGTATTAAATGCTATGGAAGGGTACACTGAAATTTTACTATTGTATTTCATCAATTATAAGATACAATTCTTTCATAAAATAGTATCTCTGAAAGTGGGATATATCCTACAGTTGATAGCATCTTAGCATTGTGTTATAATTGGCAACATTTTTCCTAAGTTATACATAAAATACTGGTATGCCTTACAATCAATGCTGTCTTAGGATAATGTTAGAAGCTATCGTTCCAATTTTCAATTTCAAGTAATAATTTCCCTGTCCTCCCAGCCACTCTCCCACCATAAATATATAACTGAAAGGTTTAATTAGAAAAACTATCCAAACACAGTTCAATTTTATATAAAATATTTAATTCTTTAAAACACAGGCTATTCATGTCACATAAATATCTTTATTTTTAGGTTAGCTGCTTATAGTCAGCAGAAATATCTAGTGTGACTATTAAGAATAACTTAGATACTGTCACTTATTGGAAAGTCTAAAGCTCTAAGACTCACCATATTAAAATTTCAGATACTTGAATACTGTAGCTATTTTTGCTAAATTTCAAAATATTTTTCTTCACTTCCTCAATGTAGTAATTAATTATAAGTTGTTAGTACCCAATATTCAAACAAAAACAATTTTTTCTTCCATTCATTTCCTTCTCCCCAACAAAAAATTCCATCAAAAAATAAGTCAACTGACATCAATTCATTTTATAGTAGTAAAATGGTAAATTATCCACTTTAAAATATTCTTGCTGTCACCAAACTATAATGCTTCCCATAAACTGTTCTGAAATGAAGGTTCACAAGTCAGAGGGCACAGGGTTAAAAGACTGACTTTAGAACTGGAGCAATTTCCATTTATAATAGTTGTTCCAATTTAAGACTCCAGTGAAAAAATAAGTTACAAGGAGAATAGTTAAAACAAAATGGTTAATTGGCACAAACCTAATTTCTACAGTCTATTTTTACATTTAGTGATAAAGGAAACACTGGTTATTTGCCTTTGGTTCCTTTCCATAATTGTTCTAATTTGTGTGTATGTATGTGCACACAAAGATAGTTAGACTTGAAACTATTACAGTTTAAATAAGGGTTAAATCATCATTCTTTGCTGCTTGTAATAAAAGAAAAACATTTTAAATGAACTAAAATTGCTCTAAAAGTCTGGCGTAAGTCATAATAAACCTTACAGAAGGTGAGAGGAAGGGAGATAAGAGGTTCTCTCACTATTTTTTCCTTTGCTTCAATGAATTCTATCTAGGCAATGTTTCTAATTAACAACTAAGTGAGCAGAGTCAACTTTTTCTTAACATGGCAATTACAGAACTTAAAACTTGGTGTTTGCCACCCCTCCCTCCATGAACTTTAATAGAATTATGCAAATTCTATTATTAACCCTTGCTTCCATACCACTGCCCTCCAATTATTCATGGCAAATGCAAGCAGGGGACAATATGGCAGCCTGAATGAAAATGGTACTCTAAAATTCTCCTTTACCAATTACTTTCAACAATTTAAATGACAAACTTTTCAGACGTAACAAAAGGTACTGGTTGGAGTTCTACTCCGTTTCCTTGCTCTCACTCCCCTATCAAGAGAAGGTGGTAGTGAAAGGTCACAAAGCCCAAAGACGGGAGAAAAGAAGGTGTGACAGGCAGAGGGAATGGACCTACCAAGAACTGAACAGGCACAGGCAGCCCTAAAAACTTGAGGGCTTCCTGCCTCTTCGATATAATGCATTGATTCCCTTTAAAAGACAAACGGGTGTAAAGGTTAACTACTTTTTCAGACCTTAAGTTCACCTTTTAAGGCACTTACTTACCCTCCCCATCCCACCCATATTTTCCATATAAAACCCACTATTTCATTTGAATGCATTTTGCTAGGCTCTGATAATCTGCAAAACAAAACAAAAATAACGTTGACCATTTTTTTTTTTATAAAACTGTTGCATCAAGAGAAAGGTTTGTGTTTTATTTTCTGAAATGAGCACAAAGTACACCTTTCACAATAACACTGAAAGCAGGTGCAAAGACTGACAGTGACCTTTGACTAAAGGTAGCTTTGTAAAAAGAAAAATACCAAATAAATCAGTGCCCTTTCTGATTGTTGTAAAACTGGAGGGGGGGCGGTGTCTGCTTGTTACATAAAAGTTGGTCCAAACTTACAAAAAAAGCACAAATGTGCATAGTTCAGAAGATCTGCAAGAGGGTCATAAAAGGCTTATGTCCCTAAGATTAGCATCCACTTAAAACTGCGAGAATACAAAATAAAATTGTTAACTAGAATTTGTGACGATGTACAATCAATAGATCTAGTTTTTAGAACAGCATGAATTTAAGCAAAGGTTTTTTTTCTTTTCTCTTTTTTTACTATTGTATGCAAGACCCTTTCCACATAAAAATAAAGCTGTTGTTGAATTAATATTATTCAAGTCTTTTGGGTGCTGCTTAAACTGCAGCTAGAAAAGTCTTTCCAGATAAAAATGATGTGCCTGAGGAAAAACAGATATTCAGTATGGTAACCCTCTGCCTCGACCTCTGCCAGTTGATGTGCTAATGTGTCCCCTGTATCCTTGCGAATATCCGGGTCCTTGGGCAGGAGAAGTCCAGGTCTGTCCATGCATGAGGCTGGGACCACCAGGGTTTTCCTGTAAGTTACCGCCATAGTTATAGTTGTGCATCTTTGCTGGCAAAGGATGAGTACTCTCTGGCCCCGTGGAAGGGTCACTGCTGTTTGCCAGGACTGCAATAGGGCCATGGCTATATTCAAATCTATGGTCCTTGTCTCCACTAAACAACATGGGACCAGAATTGAGGTAAATGTCTCCATATCCAGCTACTGAGCTGGCAAATGACTCTGAAAAGGCAGCAGGCTGAGGTGGGCCAGCAGAATGAGATGAAGCAGTACTGTAGTTATCCAAAGACTGAATATCTGAGTTTCCAATGAAGCTACGTCGTTCCAATGGTGGAGCAGAACTACCTCCTAGACCATCATTACTAACATAAGGAGCAGAAGAGAAAGAAGAAGATCCAAAATTGTCTTTGTAGTCTGCAGTAGGTACATAAGTGTCTCCTGCTTGATAATCAATACCTCCTTCTCTTTTGGGCTCATCCTGGGGCTGATGCTGAGCAAGTAGCTGTAACAGGGCTGCTTTCACTCCGGCATGAGGGTCAGTTAACGAAGAACTAGCAGTGGGTGCATGCTGGTTTTCTGTCCGATAATCCAGATCTTCGTCAGTGACTGGTGGTGGTTCAGGGGGTTCAGGAGGTCGTTGATCAGGAGGCAGAATCCGAGGCCGGTCCGGTTCTGGTGTTAGCTCCAACATCCTCACATCTTGGTGCTGAATGAGATCATCTTGCCCTAAGTGAAGCAAAGCAAAAAAAGAGTAAAAAGTTACCAGGGAAAAAACTAAATATTCAAAATAGTCTGTTTCCTACGGGTGGTCCTAAAGATTATCAGACTATCTCCTGCACAACATTAAATGAAAAGGAAAAGGGTTTACAAATACGGATGTTACCTGCTATCATTTAACTCTATGGTGACTGAAATTTTTTTTATTGTGTTTGGCTTTCCAAAGGTATCTCACATATACCCATTTATTGTTTGAAGAACAAAAGCTACCGTATACATAAAGGTTCTCCTCTGGTCAATCATCCTTTTATATTCAGAGTCAAAGGTTATTACTTAACCATAGGCTTTCCCGAAAAAAATGTAAAGCACTCACAATGAGTTTTATCACACACAGATAATTTGCTGAAGAATCAACTCCTGGGAGTATACAGACTAGGATACCACACTACAACCAGTGACCTGAGAATTTTCAGGACATCTCCTGGCAATGCCACTGAACAATATGCATTGTCGATAATCAACAACAGCAAGAAAGCTGCATAAATGCAGTTGTGATAGTGGCCTGGTATCTGCACACTCACCCGATACTGGAGTGCTAGGTTCTGGAGGCGGCCTGAGTTGTAATGATGCTTCATGTCCCGACCCATTTTCTCGTTCTTCCAGTAGCAGGTCTTTCTGCTTGGATTGCTGAGCCTTTATTAACTGAGTCAACAAAACCGCAAACGCGCTCTGCACAGCCGCCTGGGCAGCATCAGTCTCCACTTTAGGCTGGACGGTCTGAGAAGGCACCTGAATTCCTCCCAGTGGTTTCGAAGACTCCTGCTGAGGTGTTGATGGATCTGTCTGTTTTTCACCTGTTGCCAAAATTCCAGCAGGAAGGTTTATTTTATTTAACTGCTGATGAGTCTCAGAGTTTACCTTAATGCTCAACACTTTGACAATATCAGCCATATTAACACTTGTTTTACATTGTAGTAGGTTTAGGAGAATTGCCAATTCACTGTGGTTTAACTGCTGTGCAGGGCCTGTTTTTACTAAAGACAAAATCTGTACTAATTAAAATTACCATACCTTACAGCCACCACCCCCACAAAGGCTCTGTATTACCATATTAAAATGTACTTTTGAGGTAGGGTATTTAAAAAACATTTAAAAAAAGGGAACCTCAATTTAGTTAAATTTCATGTACATTTAAGCTGTAATGCACATAAAAAGAAAAAGAACTATGGCCAATTTTTGAATAAGTTATCTTTAGGGGTAAATTCTTCAAAGGAAAAGCACGACTCCTACTAAAACCCCATGCTACATACACATTTAACCTATGAATGGAAAATTGATGATGATGATGATATCTAAAAAACCAAAACCCACTGCCAACAAGTTGATTCCGACTCATAGTGACCCTGTAGGACAGAACAGAACTGCCCCATAGGGCCCCTAAGGCTCTAATCCTTACGGAAGCAGACTGCCACATCTTTCTCCCACAGAGTGGATGGTGGATTCGAACAGCTGACCTTTCAATTAGCAGCCGAGTGCTTTAACCACTGCACCACCAGGGCACCTTTGATGGTATCTACACAGGTTATTTTCTAAGCGTTTTATAACCTTTTTTCCTCACAATCTTATAATCTATTATTAATTTTATTTTACTAAAGAAGAAACTGACACCCAGTAAGACTAAATAACTTGCCTGCAGTCAGAGACTATGTAAGTGGCAGAGGTGAGATGTGAACCCAAATATTCTGATTCTAGAGTCTGGGCTCTGAACTGCCATGCTGTACTACTTCTCTAAAATAAAGCTTATTATCTAAGAACCTAACTTTATATTTGCAGTAAATTCAAACTAGGATGTAGCACACTGTCTGATAAAATGTCTGGTTTTTAATTCAAATTACTCTTATTTTAAGTCACTTTGAGTTAGTTAGGAACTCCTACAGAAGCGTGCTTATAATTGTCATAGTGCATATATTAACTCATCACCAGTAAAAATGACTCAATTGTTTTTCTTTTTCCAACTTTAATTTTAGACTTGTGATGGTTTAAACAGATTCTTGTGGAAGATTATCAGAATCCTATAAAAACAAAGCACGAATACGTACGATACTACATATGTTAAATAATAAAATGAACACTGAAAAACAATTCCCACAGCCACAGACGACAGACTAGAAAAACTCCACATGGAGATGAAAAACTGATGATTAATGCTATGTTTTTATATTCTCTCTTCATATACTCTTAGATACATTACTTTTTTATATTGCTTTTTAGATTAATTCAAAACAAACTGTTGCGATGTTCTTATGACCCACAGGCATTAATTATCAACCATGCTCGTTGGCTACACCCCACCGGCCATTTTCCTTTTCACTTCTCTATCAGCAGAGGTATTTCTGTGTGAGCACTGGGAAGTACTCTGTAACTAAGGCATCCCTTCTACAGAAGGGGCATTTTCTTATTTCAAGACACTTACTGATGCAGGAGAAGAAAACAGAGCAAGGGGGGATTCATCTCTATTCCAAAAAACCTGAATTCTTACTTCTTAAGAGTAGTAGTTTAAAAAAAAAAAAAAAAGTGGAGAGACAAAAAGCAAAACAAAACTTAAGAGCTAAGTAACAAAAACAAAATGAACCCAGAAAGAGTAACTCATTTTTTTAGTAGCTAAAATAGAGTGAAATAACTACCCACTAGGGTTGCTAGTAAAATAAGGACATCAATTCCATGAAGAGAAGCAGAAATAAAGACCTGTTATCTTGTTAAGGAATCTGACAACCGTCCCCTGGGACAACTGACCACAATCCAAACTTCCTGTTATTCTCATCTCAAATCCTCTTTTTAGCAGTTGTTGCTGCTGCTGCGTGCCATCGAGTCAATTTCAGCTCATAGCGACCCCATGTGACACAGCCCCATGGGGTTTTCTTGGCTGTAATTTTTAGCAGTAGATGGTACACAAAACATATAAAATAAACAAAAATTAAGAAAACTTATTGTTGCTTCTCTTCTGCCTTTCTCCAGATTTTACATATTTTTTAGATGATGAGAAATAATATAGAACTTGATATAGATAACCCTCATTCTATGCAACAGATGTGTTCTCCAAAGTTACTGTGTATATAAAGACACTTTCATGTACAAAGGGAATTGGTTGCTTCAAGGAACTCTGAAGAAGACTTTTGAACAAGTAGTAACAATTGCTTTTGTTTTCCAAGTGAAACTTTAAATATGGAGTCTGACCAAGGTCAAAAGTAAACCTGTAGATTACACAGGCAAGCAATAACAGTAATCTTTCTCAGCTTATCTAGCCTATAGGCTAGATAATATATATATATATATATTTATGGTACTTAACCACCAAAAGTTTAATTTAATTCAAAGATCTTTTTTAATCACCCAACTGATCAATCAACATTTATCTATCTCTTAGTAAGTGTTAGGCTACTTTTTCATGTTTAGTAAACCAGCCACTACACACACACATACACAACTCTCTCTCTCTCTCATATTAGTCTCTCTCTTCACAAAAAAAACCTAAATAATGCTGAATGCTTTCTGGATTCTTGTGGCAAAATGAGAGAGTAGATTCCATTAAAAAATTAGTTGTTTACTAAATGAGACGATGAACTTAACAACATCTGACAACACTTAGAAGGTTGATTTCTCATAATGGTGTTTAAACTTAAGACAGAAATGAATCAGAGGAAATTTAAAGTCTAAAAAACAAACACATCATAAACTGCATGAGAGAGTTCCCACTATGATTTCTGGCTGTCTCTCCTGTATCTTTCTTCCACACTTAAGTTCCTGTTAGCACCCCCAGACACTGAATGCTGAGCCTCACTGAGAATACTGGTAGTAAAAGTCCTACGGATTCCCACACAGGGAGTTGGTTAGAAAGGGGGTAACTAGAAAAATCTGCTCAATCACCAATCAAATAATTTTATGCCTTCTTACCTGAGATTGCTTAAAATTGTGGTGCCAGCAGCAATGAAATGTCTATACTGGCACAAATAACAAGGAACTGTTAAGTTGACTAAATAGACTTTAATTTTCATCTTTTAGCCACAAGATGCTTTTACAATAGAGCAATGTAATCAACACTAACCAGAAAACAACATGAAGGAAACAAATCATGGAATTATTATTACTAACCAGGTGCCACACTCGAGTTGCCCTGAGATTTCAGCTGTGAAGACGGTGGCACACCCTGGGGTGTGCTTGTCCTACTGTCATCCAACCCCAGAGACAAGTCCTTTCTGGGAGCTTTAATTGTGGAAACATCATCAGTCATGCCCATCTGCTTCTGTCTTCTTCGCTTCTTACTCCATAACTCATGGCAATCCTGCCATAAAGGAAGACTGAAAGAAAAAATATAAATGTTAGATTGTGAGTGGCATTTCATAATAAAAAAATGCTAATATTTACTACGTAGAACCAAAGGCAAAAAAAAAAAAAAAAAAAAAAAGTTGTCTTGAAGACTTCATACTTAGGCTTTGTAAAACTCCTCCAAAAAAAATCATCCTTGATGCTCTACCCCTCTCTCCTTCCAGGGCTTCACCTTTATTTACAGAAAAATTAATTTTTTTTTTTGCCTTCTGAATAATCAATAAATGGTAATTTATTAAAACTTTAAATGAGGAATATATATTTATAAAAGCAGGTTACTATGATCCTTCATGCAACCTTTTAAAGCCATTCTTATCCCAGTACATCATACTTTGAATTAAAAAAGGAGGCAAAACAATATGCCATTTGCAGAAGCTAAACACAGGATGAAAAAGTAGTAAAAGCTGGAATATAACATTTGTGAAAAACTTTTTAGTTAAAGCTTCTTACTTTTTAATGCCCTCTTATTTTCTTCTACAATCAAATGCTCTACAATTAAACTGAAGCTACAGATGAGTTTTTAAACAGGTAATCCAGGCACCAAGAGGCTCATCCATCATTCATCAATAAAGAATTCTGAATAACTAGTAACTATCAGAATTGGCCACAAAACTGAAATAATTCTACCTTAATGCAATTTCATAAAGCTAACAACACTGGAGAATATGTTGATTTATAAATGGCTTTTCTTACCCTAATAAAAAAAAACCAATGGAAAGTTACTATTATATCTATTTTACAGATGAGAAAATTGAGGCTTGGAAAAGGTTAATAAACTTGCCCAGAATATCTACAAATCCTCTTAAGCAGCCCCAACCTGGTGATGTATATCTGCAGTCTTCAAACTGGGATATGTTTACTTCTAGGGGTATATGAAGACTTTCCAAGGGGGTACATCTGACACAAATTGTTCTAAAGGAATTAATTTCCATATCCATATGTTCTCTTTCTCAAAACTGACCTTTGAGAATGGCCTGTATGTTCAAACAGGCTCTTCTTTTCACACCTCCTCTTTCACAATGACTCTTTCCTTATTTTATAAAATAAAGGCATATGCAACAATATGGTTGAATCTTAGCAATATAATTTTAAGTAAAAAGGTAATTCCCAAAAGATTATAAACAGCATGACACCCTTTTATAAAATTAAAAACTAAAATAAAATATAACTTCATATATGAGTACATATAGATGGCAACAAAAGTATATACAAAGAAAACAAGGGATGATGGTTCTGTCAGGTAGAAGGCAACGGGATGGGTTGGTGGGAAGAGGGGGTATGATATGATCCAAGTAGGTTATTTTCAAGATTCTAGCTTTTGTTTGGGCATGGTGGGTTCATGGCTGCTTGTAAACATTACTAAAAATAACTAATTAGGTAACTAAAATAAATAAAAGAGAGCCATGCATGGACCAATGATGAGTGAAACAAGGATTATGATTAAACCAAGTCTATGCACCTGAGGTCCAAAAAAAAAAAAAACAAAAAAAAAAAAAAACAAAGGCATACCTCTCAGCCATCTTACTATGGTGCATTGCCTCAGCGTGTAAAAACCTCCTGGAGTAACAAACAAAGGGACAATTTGAAATATTGATATTGGGAAGCCTCCTTAAAGCATCATAAACCTGCCAAAGACTTTCCCTCTTCTGTTGTGTGTGTGTGTTACATGATGTGTGTCCTTAGCCTCTGCTGGGATACTATGAATTCAGATACAAAGCAGTCCTGCAGAGTAGGGTGACTGTCAGGGAATGCACTGCTCTTGGGGGAGAGACCAGGAGAACAAAGCAAAGAAATACACTAAAAAGGGCTTTTGTTCCCTCCCACAATTTAAAGGTAAGAGATTTTTTATTGATGTTCTCAGTACTCATCTCTAGAAAAGAAAAACATTACCCAACACATAGCTAAAACCATACAGGTTAATGATGCTGACTCTTTAAAAGTACAGGTGGTCCCTGACTTATAACAGGGTTCTATTCAGATGACTCCGTCATAACTCAGTTCCGACATAAGTCGAATACCCTTTTTTTTTTTTAATTTTCATTATTATAGCCTTTTATTACCAGTAAATCTTTATTTGTTTTAGGGGGTTGGAAACTTTACATATAAACTGGCAGATACACATTGCAACACTGTATGTAGTACGTATTACTAACAATAAGATGTTAAAAAAAAAAAAAAGGATGGTCCTAAGTTGGGATCTTTGTAACTCGAATACGTCATCAGTGGGGACTACCTGTACCAGGAATTCTTTCCAAGATGACCAAACTTTATGTGCTTTTTGAAGGTTCAAATGCTGGCTCAGCCACTTTCCTTCTGTGTCGTGTTAGACAAGTGACCTTTATGTGCCTCAGCTTCCTTATCTTTAAAAATTGGAATGACAATATTATCTACCTCATGGGGTAGAGATTAATATATGTTAACATATGTAAAGTGCTTAGATCATGCCTTTCACATAGCAGGCATTATATTCATTTTTATATTACATATCACTATTCAATAAGCTAGTTTAAAACTATTTTTATCAAATCGTATCATGAAATATTTATTCCAATTATAATCATATTTCATCTTATAAATTGCTCAATACGTTTTACTTGCTGTTAATAAAAAATAAAATTATAGGCTAGCTGCCAGTCTAATTTGTTTTTTCCTTTTTTAGTATATATACACTTTTAAAATTAAGTATGTAAGAAAAGCTTGACAGGACATCTAATACAACCAATAGAGTTATTTCTCATTTAATACCCTACTCTCATTTGATTATTCCTAAAAACTGATCATGAGAGTTTGATATGTACATATATTTTCCAAAGGAACACCATGCCTTTCTTCATAGTCCTTACTTCTTAAATAATTTATAATTTTAACTACTTGTTAATTATACTTAAAAAATAATGAGAAATGTTATGTTGTTTATATAACTTTTTATTAAAAAGATACTAGATTGATATCATTATAATCTGCATTACAGAACTTGTTACTGGTTTACAGACTGTTTCTTTCAACATGTATATTAACATGCTTATTTTTATGGAAAAAATACAGTCAGACGTTTTCTGATAAAAATTAAGTCTGATTTAGGTGATCTGTTTTACAATATGGACAGAATTTATAATTAAGATACATGCCCAGACATTTTTCATAAACTGAATGGGATAAATCTACAGTTCCAAAGTTTCTATTTAAAAAATCTATATATATATTTAAAGTATGTAATAAAAAAAACACTAATTTTAAAAATAGACTGGCAAAGTAGCACTGAAATTAATACGCTTCCCTAATCTTTTCTGAGTATAATGGCATAAACAAGTGCTGTTAAAAGAAAAAGTTAACAAGTATAATAAGAAGTCACTTAATAAGTACTGGTAAAGCGTTTTAGGTTCATTTTCTCAAAAGTTGAGAAAGTAAAGGACTAATGACTGCCTAAGAAATCCTTTTGCAAGTTGTGTGGTTTCCAATTCTTTACTGTCAAGAAATATGATAAAAAAAGAATCTCAGGCTGACATCTAAAAGATCATTAAAATAATTTTTGATGCCAGATCAAGTATGTGATTTTTTGGATATAATGTAGAAGGAGTTTAAAGAACTCAATGGTATAGCTCCTTCTAGTCTCATATACAACTGATGTGGAACTCTGTCTCATGCGAGAATAAGTAAAATTACTCAATAGATATGCAAATCATTTGGGAGGAAATATCTCAGCTCCTTCTAATGCATTTGGTTGCATTTCCAACAGAATTTACTAATTTTCTTCTCTTTTTTTAAACTGAAATATGTACTACTACTATTTGCAGTGACAATTTAATCAAGAAGAAAAAGCTGTATTTAGTACAGAAAAAAATTTTTTACATTAAATTCATATCTCTCTTACTATATAATTATTTTAAATAAGTACAATAGGATCAATAAGATACTTTCAAGCATAAATATTATTACAATAGAATAAAAATCTATGGGAGCAACATATAAGTTCAAGATGAAAAAAGAATAACATCCAATTGTTAAAGAAGAGTTTGTTCATACATATTTTAAGTGAATGTTGATAGATATCAAAATGATATTTAGATTCCACAGAATGCATTTACAAGAGTGACTTAACTGCTCTACTTTAAAATGTCAACATTTACAATATACTGAAAATTATGTCTTTTGCAACTATTTACTCTTGATTTTAAAAAAATGAGATGTGAACTGAAATGTGCTGGATACATACTTTAACCAGAATTCTTTCAGACGGCCCACCTGAACCAAGTGATCAAACTTAGTATTACCAATAAAAGGACAAACTGACACTACATTCCTCTTGATGTGATAGGCAGGAAGCACATATCACCTTTTTGGTAGTATTCTTGTCAAAAAATGTTAATCTAATTCTGATCACAAAAAAGCAATCCAATCCAGATTGTAGAATGTTTTACAAGACAGCTAACACAGACTTTTCAAAAATGTCATGTCATAAAAACTCTTTCCAAGAAGGGATTAAAGACTAAAGAGACATGACAACTAAATGTAATGTGTGAGCTTTAAATGAGTATCTTAGAAAAAAAAAAATCTATAAAAGAAATTAGTCAGCTAAATGGGGAAATTTAAAGATGAAGTATATATTAGACATTACAATGCTGAATTTCCTATGCTTTATAATGGCACTGTAGCTAAGCAGAAGAAAGTTCTAGTTCTTATAGAAATATAATGAAATATTTAGGAGTGCCATGTCACTTTTGCATTTATTATTCAAATAGTTCAGAAAAAACAAATTTAATATAGAATGATGAAGCGTATGTCCAAATATTAATAACTGTTGAATCTCAGTGAAGAGTATATGAATGCTCATTGTATTATTCTTTCTGTTTTTCTGCAAGGTTAAAATTTTTCAAAATCAAAGAAGTTACAAATTCTTTGAAGGAGAACTAGAGCCAAAGTCTCAAGACTGCTGATATATACTGATAAGCAAATGAACATTAAACAATTCAACAGTGAATGATTCAGGTTCCTTAGCATGTCAAACAGATCCTTTCCGCCTTTCAAATCACATAAAGACCATTCATACATAGTTCAATAAAAACATAATGAAGCTGAATATGACAGTCTCATAGAAACATAATAAGCCCAATGTAACTAATAAGTGGAAGAGCCAGGATTTGAACTCCAAAGCCCATGTTTGTTCATTCACAATGCTAATTTCACCACATAGAAACATTTTATTATAGTGATAGGCTTGATCTCATGCTCATTATCATGTAAAAAAATACTAAGAAAATACCTACAAAGTTTCTAGATCCTGTCAAGGAGAACCAGATGGACTGCTGTCTCCCTCCCTCACTCCCCAAATCAATCCTAGAGAAACCATGATGCTGTAAGGAGTTAAGGTTCAGGAACCTAGACACTCTGACTCCTAAACTCTGCGCAGACAATAAACTTATTCCATGAAGGCTTCTGAAACTCATTCTTTTAGTCAATGGTTAAGTATTTTCAACTGTGTAGTATGCAAAGGAGTATTTCAGAAATTCTTTTTCTTACTGGAGTAACCTGAATTTGAGAGCTAACTCCACTCTTCTACTAAATTTGTATTCCTGGGCAAGTTTCTTAACCTCTCTGAGCCTGCTTCCTCCTCTGTAAAATGGTGATAATAATAGTAATACCTACCTGATAGGATTATAAAGATTAATACATGAAGAGTGCTTAGCATAGCACTCAAAATGTTTGCTATAGCATATTAGTAGTAGTATAAGCAGTAGTACTAGTAGAAATACTAGAAATAATAGCAGAAGCAGTTAATATCTTCTTTGAGTTGAAATATATTAATAAAAACTTGAGAACAATTAACCCTAAAACCAGCCAGAGGAACGCCGCTTTTTTCCTATGGTTAGCTGAACATTAAGCAAGCATCTAGATTCTAGATGTGTAAATTATGTGTATTACTGCTATTTTATCTATTTCTTTTGACTTGTTCTATTTCTTTTGATTTAACTGAGCATGGAATATCTTCTAACCATTACACAGAGATGTTATTAAAACTGTCCAGATTCTGAATATGGAGAATCTAATATAATAAAAAGTCACTTACTCTGGTGGAGGCATTTTTGAGGGTTCCACATCACGTAGGAAATCACACTGAAGAGCTTGTTCGGCGGTGCAGCGCTTACTAGGATCCAAGGCGAGCATGTAATCAAATAAATCTAGTGCAGCTGCAGGAATACTAGCATGAGAGATTACAAAAATCACATATTCTCTTTAGACATAAATTCGGTGTTTCTTTTTGAACTTATTTTAAATATTAGCATTTTATGTTTACTTTATACCAATAAACTCCAAATTTTCTTTGAATAAATATCTCATTATTTTATATATAATCTTGTAACTATTATTCTAAATAATTTGAAATTTGGCAGAAAACAGTGTATTTTATTACTCTACAGGCAATTTGCTTTTGCAACATAGTTTCCTAAAACAAAATAAAAACCTGAGCTTAAGTAACTTGAAAGCTGTTTCACTGAAATTTAAAACAATATCATTAAAGTTCTTTCATGTAAGCACCAAATCAAACACACCCTGTAAATTACTGATTCCATGATGATGAAATGGCAATTCGCATGTAGCAAAGGGAAATTCAACATTAAATGAGCTAAAAGATTTGTGCTAAATCTACTTCAGGTCAATAATCAGAGTAACAATTAGAATTCACAAGAAATAACTGCTTAAAAAAAATTAAATGCAAAATGGATATTTAAGCATCCCCTTCTTACAAAACAAATTCTTCTCTTAACTTTCGACGATACTGCTTCTTTGGTTTCATGGTGTTGAAATACGGTAGTTTGATTACATCAGGCCACACTGCAGGACATGGACTCCCACATATACGGCTAAATGATACATAAAAATAAGTATGTCATTATCAACTACACACAAAAAAATAACATATGCAAGTGCTATACAAAACATCAACTTATTTTTAAATACACAAAGTTGAAGCTCTAACATTATATAAGAAATTCCACTGAATATTTTAGTCATCTCAGTTTAACTGCTTGTTTTAGGAAATCAATTTATTTTCAGGGCATGCGTCTAACATTCCAGGCATTACAACTTCTAGAAAGAGGACCTTTGTATTTGCAAAATGAAATTTTAAAATAACACAGATGACCCTCAAAATATGTGGTCCACGTCTTAAAAACAACACAAAGAATTTTCTGCCAATAGATTATGGAGCTATAGTTGAGTATATGTCTTTGTCTGGTTTTATAAGTACAAGTTACTATCTCTTCCCATGAATATAAGGCAGACCGCATTAACAGCTGAAACAGACTTCCTACACTACCTCAGGAAAGTAACTGTACTGTAAAGGTTGCTACTTAATGCTGTCAACAGGAAGATCCTAAAACTCTTGAAACATAGAAGTTCATCAATTTAAGCTGCAGTTAAGTAGACCGTGACTCATAGCAACCCTAAGTGCGCAGAGCAGAACTGCTCCGTAGGGTTTTCAAGGTTGTGACCATCAAGAAGCAGATCGCCAGGCCTGTCTTCCGAGGTGCCTCTGAGTGGGTTTGAGCTACCTATCTTTTGGCTAGTAGCCAAAAGCTTAACCATTTGCATCACCCAGGGATGAATTTAAGTAGTGCCACTGATTCCAAGGTATTTAGAAATTTTAACTGCTTTCCTCTCTGCTTGTCTATATCCTGAAAACCTTCCTTATGTCAGTACTAATTATTAAGTCTTTGTTGTGGTAGTTTGCAGGAGAAATGCTATTAAGCAAACAGGTAGCTCCAGCTGGTAGACATCTGAAAACTAAGTGATTTGGTAATATGTAGATGAAAACTTGGTTAAATATGCTTAACTTGAATAAAATGAACCTCAAGAGTAAATGTATACAGTTTATAAAATTATCAGCCGGTCTTGGTATATTAAAAAAAATGTTGATGCATCACTGATTATAAGTAAAAATATTCTATACATATATAAAATCAAAACCAAATCAGTTGCCATCAAATTGATTCTGACTCCTGGAGACCCTATGTATTTCAGAACAGAACTGAGCTCCACAGAGATTTCAATGGAGTTTCATAAACTCTATTTATAAAAACTCCATTTCAACAGTTTTCAATCTTTCAGGTCACCAAGGCTTCCTTCTGAGATGCTGCTGGGTGGAATCAAATCGCTAACCTTTTAGTTAGTAGTTGAGCACTTAACCATTTGTACCACCCAGGGACTCCCTATAACATACATATGCATACAGAAATGTATATAAGCAGATGATGACTAAAGTTGACGTTTTTTAGCTGAGCTTTAGAGTGCTACCTCAGAAACACAAACATTTATATGAAAAAACCTCATGTTTTTTAAGCCATACATCAATAAGTATACTTTTTATGTCTCAATATAGTTCAAGATTTTTGTAAATCCAAGCTCTTTAAAGGTATTAAGGTTTTATTCTTTGCACACTCCCAGTCTCTTCTTCCTTAAAACCCAATTATAATAACTCCCTCAAAAATATAGTGGCTTAGGAAAGAAGGCCAAACTCCACAGCATATCTTTCTACAGCCTGGTCCCAAACTACCTTCCTAGTTTCATCTCCCAGTGTCTCTCTCTCCACAGACCACTCCTCCATGATTATCCTCATATTCCTTCTCCCACAGATTCTACCTAGCTGAATCCTCTTCACTTCTCAACGTTCAGATCAAAAGCATTTGATTCAATGGGGTCTTCTCTATCCTCAGTACTACTCAGAATGACAGTAACAGTGATCGATTCTTTTTATTTGACCCTTGTTTCATTTTGCCCTGTATTTTTAGTTGTTTGCATGTGTTTCTCTTACAAAATTATGCTCAGGAACCGTGCCCCTCATTTTTGTATACCTCCCCAAGTTACTACATATACACAATTAATTCCAAGCAGGCTGATGCTTATTATAATTGAAGTATAATGTATACTGGAATATAGGAAATGAAGGATACTATCAACTACAGAAATACAAAAAACCAGTTAGGGAGCGGATGCAGAATTTTGGCTACAACTCCGAGGATAAGTAAACACGTGGGGAAGAAAATAAGAGAAATATGTAACCAGAAAAGAAGAAGAGTACAGGCAAAGACATGGAAGTAGCAAAGTACAGATATCTTGGGGAAGACTAAGTAAATCCATGTAGGTGGGATCTAGGGATCAGGGAGGTTTAGGTGGAAAAGTAGACTGGGGCCACATGACACAATTTTGAGACAGTTTACCTAACTCCAACGAAGACAGACTTTGTGAACAAACTCTAGATTTGTATCCTGGCATTTCTTAAGAGTCTGTTTCTTTTTTTGTAAAATGGAGATTCATTTTACCTCAAAACAAACAAACAAATCCATTGCCATTGAGTCGATTCCGACTCATAGCGACCCTACAGGACAGAGTAGAACTGCCTCAGGTTTCCAAGGAGCAGCTGGTGGATTCAAACTACCGACCTTTTGGTTAGCAGCCTGAGCTGTTAACCACTGTGCCACCTCAAAGGTGCAAAATTAAATGAACTAGGTATGTTACTAGCCTTAAAATAAATTATCAGTCCCATTAACCCTTAGCTATGGGATTTCAATTATTTCATTATGTATGTTGTAGGAAGATACCTGAGTTGTAAAGTTATCTAATTGGTAGTAGCTCAAAGAATGGAAATCTGAGGCAGAGAAAATAACCAGAAACTAGGGAGGCAGACATGACAGTAATTGTAAACAGTGGTGTATCACTGCAATCTGCGTCTGATGGCCAACCAGCTGCCCCAATACCGCTTACCAAAGACGTCTTGAAATGCATCATACACTAAAGCATACGCTAAATCCCCAGATGTCTGGGAATCTATTCTGAGCTACCGAGCTACTGATCTACCTACTCTGGTGTCAGTATCATATGGTAATAAAATATGGTAAGATTTTATTAATTTTTGAAAAGCTGGTAAGGCAAATCCTTCCACCCAACCCTCCATCCAGTACAATTACTGTTCTTAGAATTTTCTTACAGATGAATTGTAGAATCAATACTCTCACATTCCAAAAGGAAGATAATCCTGTTGGGATTCACTACTGTTCTGAATTTATAGATTAATTTTGAAATGATTGCTATTTTCATAATACTTAATATTTCTATCCTAGAAATACTCATTCTTCGATTCCCTCAGTGTTCTGTATTTTTTTCTTTGTTTAGATGTTGTACGCTGCTTGTTAGACTTCTGGCTCTTATGAATGTGTTTTTACTCTATTATATTTTTAAGCAGTTAATTTAAAAAGTTTTACTTGTAGGAATGGCTTGAAATTTGGCATATGAAATTTTCAGGTGACCATCTGATATCCTATAGTTCCTAAGAGTATCAGCAGTTGCTTCTTTGAGGCTTTCCTGGTCTACAATCTTATCATATGTAAATAGTCATAATTCATCCATATTTTTTCAAATCTTTATCATTATGATATATGACAACTACCAAACAATGTAAAAATGATAGTGATGGCACACAATATTGGTTAACTTTGTTTAGTTTCTGATTTTAATGGGAGTGTTTTCAATGTTTACCACTAGGAAGGATGAAGACTTTTAATCTGAGAAACACAAAACACATTAATAAAGACGTTTCACAAATATACACATATACACGCGTATTTCCTGTTAAGGAAGCATGCATTTACTCCTTTCCACCGTAGGTTTTTATTTTTGTGGCTTTTAAGTTAAAAACAGGAAAAAGGATGCTTTGGTTTTATCAGTTTGATTTTCAGACACTCTCACAAAGGGTTGCCAAGCAAAGGGTTGCCAACAAGTCAGAACTGACTTGACAGCAACTAACAACATCATGATGATCATTTGCATTTCCCCCCCCGGGTTAGTAATATCATGAATTACATTAACAGATTTTCTAATACAGAAGGAATACTGCCTGAGCCTAATAAAATGACTATTATCTTAGTGTAATGCTGTATTCCAATTGTTTAGATGTTTTGTATCAATATTCATATATGAAATTGGTATATACAGAAGCAGTTCCCCCTAGGAGTCCTTGCTAAGACATTATTTGCCTTTTTCAATGTGCTGACTATGCACTAATTGTACAAAACCATTAGTAGGTAAAACTGCTGGTACCTTAGCATGATTCAAGCAGTGGCACCAAAATGCACTAGCAGTAACTGTACTCTTCACTACCATGCAATTTCAGGGGAGAAAAAAATGTGCTTCATGAAGCAGTAAAAATTGCTAATTTTATTAAATCCCCACCCTTGAGTATAATACCGTTTTAATAACCTCTGTAAGAAAATGGGAAATACTCATAAAGCACTTCTGCTACACAACAAAATATGATGGTTATCTTCAGGAAAAGCACTTGTGCAATTATTTGAGTTGCAAGCTGAAGTAGCTGCTTTTATGATTTTTACCTGCAAGAACAACTAACAAACTATGGTTATATACGTGTATCTGCCATGCATTTTCTCAAATATGAACAAAGTCAGCCTGTTACTTCAAGGAGAAAAAACTGACAATATTTATTGTCCATGATAAAATTTGAGCTTTCAAGAAAAAATCAGAATATTGATTTTTTCAAGGTGAAATATTTCTTTTCACCACCATGAGCCTGACAGCTTCATAATATTAAGAAGCTTCTGTGATGATAACAAATACAATGAAATGTTACATTCGGAAGATATGCTTAATTCAATGAACCAATATTTTCCATAATGGCAGAAAATCAATTTGAAGTATAAGACCAATGGATTTCAGTGTATTTTTTTCATATGGTTTCATATGGTTTCAGATTGCACCTTATAACTAACCTGTAAAAAACTACCACTTACTGAGTTTTTGTGCAGTTTCAACGAATACCCACAATTACCTGAGAAGACTATTAAAAAGTACT